TGTAGCCCAAGCTTTCTGACCCTAAGTGGCTCTTAAAGGGCCAGTCTAGACCCTTCTCTTCCTCCCTTCTCGCACTCCAAGCAGCACAGCCTGATGCGTGTGGCCACACTTGCACTGTGGCCATTCTTGTGTGTTTGGTGGGGAGAGCTCTTCCCTAGCTCTCTTTCTGTTTTGTTCTCTTTAGAGCCCCCTTTATATCATGGACCCCTTTTTCGTTCACAACCTACCCAAGCCCAGAGCAAGCCCTCTGAGTGGGCTGGGGAGAAACACAGTGCTGAAGAAGGCATGTGGATCCCCAGACAGATTTTTTTTCATCCCTCCTTTCATGGAGGCCTGGGGCAAGGGGTTTTTCACCTCAGCCAGCAGTGGGGGTGGATAGGTTGGGGGCTGAGACTCCTGGGAGATGCCCCACATTCCTAGCCTCCTTTCCCAGGTACCCAGACTGTGGTGGTAGTGGTGGTGGGGGGCGGCTAGTGGAGGATTTCAAATCTTCCTCTCCCTGTGAGGGAGGTGACATGCCAAAGAAACCTGCCTCTGGATTTCCTGACAATTTCCCTATTTTTCACCAACTGAGCTTAGGGCAGCAAAGGCAAAACTGTCTTCTCCCTATTTCTCCCTCTTTTCTGCAGAAATGCTGTAACTGCACTCCTGGGGCTATGTGAATGCCAGGATGGTTGGAAAGTTCCTCTTCACATCTGCCTTCAACCCTGTCTGCTGCAGAAATCTGTAGTCGTCCTCTGAGGGTTTCTCCAGGAGAGTCAACTCCCTACTTGATATTTGAAACTCATTCTCTACTTCCCTTAGTGCTCCCTTCTCTGGCTTAGGATAAGAGGGAAATGGTGGGTTGGGGGCCTTTGTAAAGTGGCCACGCTAAAAATAGAAGCCCCCCCCCAGCTGCACCCTCACCCCTTATTTATCACTTTCCAAACCTCACTCTCAAAGAAGCATGGATATTCCTAATTCATGAAGGCCAGCCCTGATTAGAGATTGTGCAAGGGAAAGGAGTGACGTGTAGTGAGAGGGGAGCCTACTGTAACCTTGAGGTCGCAGAACATCTCCTGAGGGAAGCACCTAACTTGTTCTCTAACCAGCGCCTATGAGTCTTCATTGAGAGGAGTAGTTGTTTCTCTCAATAGTGCCTCTGGGAGTTAGGCTTTTGTCACTACACGCCCCCCCACAAACAAACAAAAATCCAACCTTAGTTCTTTCTTCTCCATTAATTCTCCTTCCTTCTCCCTTCCTCTTTTCTTCGATATTACCTTCTAGTTCTCTTTTCCTGCCCCTCTCACACCTCTCATTTAGCCTTTCTCCTCTCAGCCTCGCCCTTTTCAAAGCCATTGTCTGAAGAGCAAATTTCCCCTCTTAATTCAAATCTGGATAGTGATGTTTGAAAAGAAGTCTCTCTCAGTTTCCGGATCTCCCCGCTTCAGCCCATTTGCGTCCTTCAATGAACCCTTTCTTTTCCATCTCCTTCTCAGATCGCCTCCGTTTTCACACCCTCAGTCTTTTCTCCTCAGCCTTCCTTTTTTTTCTGTCACCCCTTTGGCTTCCTCAGTTTCCCCTTAGCTCTTCAGTTCAATATCCACTTTCCCTCTTCAATCATCTCTTCTGTCCCCGCTCTACCCCCATCTCCCACCCCTCAGATGCCTCCGCCCACTTTTACCCCTTCAAACCCCATCCTGCGCTTCAGTTCCCACCACCAGCACACCCCATATTCCCCTTCCGCCGGGTGAAAGAGAAGGGAGGAGGGACTTGAGGAACAGGTAGAGGGAATGCGGTTCCCTGAGGGGAGGGAGAGAAAGAGGAGAAAAAGCTGGGGAGAGGGAGACGGAAACGGTGGCAAGGGGAGGGGCATCCCCTCTCCGCAGCTGCGCCCCCCCTTCCCCACAGGCACTGAGCCATAAATCAAGCCCAAGGTAGTTTGGCCAATGGTAGAGTGACTCGTAAATCGGGCTGTCAAGCTCAGCCTATGGGAAGCGGCGTTAAATCAAATCCTGTCAGTGCTTGGCCAATGAAAAGCCCTGGGTTGGTCATAAATCTGCCCATTGGAGACAGCGAGAGAGAGAGAGAGAGAGAGAGAGAGAGAGAGAGAGAGAGCGCGAGAGCGAGAGCGAGAGCGAGAGAGCGAGCGAGCAGGCGAGCCAGCGAGAGCCGCGGGGGTGGGCAACAGGGGAAGGGCGCGAGGAGAGTGGAGCGGGAGGAGGGAGAGAAAGAGCTCTTGAGAAAAAAGATGGTAACAGAGGTACAAGAGATGAAGACAGCCTACAGGACAGACGGACAGATGAAGAAAGACAAAGACAAGCCTTGAGAAATAGCGTCAGAAATTCAGCTATAGAGCTCGGGCTGAGACGGTAGACTAACACAGATAAAGCAACAAGGAGACGAACACTGACTCACATTCAGGAAGGTCCCCAAATGCACATACTCCCTAGAGACACGCGTGGGCTCCGCTTCATGAGAGACTTCATGCGTGGACACACGAGCCATTCACACCCGCACGAGTGAGAAAGCCTGAGAGAGAATCTCCTACCTCTCTTCCCTGACTCAACCCTAAACGAAATTAGGGGCGGGGGGGGTGTGTGTGTGAATGTATTAGCTGTGGAGGGTGAGAGAGGACTGGGCTACTTTCTTGCTAAGATCTGTCCTCTCAGGACTCAGACTCCAGGGGTTTCTTCTTGTGTCCCTTTGAGTCATCCCCCTCAGTGATTGATAATTGGGAAGTCCTTCCTGATGTCTAACCTCAATCCCCATTGTTACTCATTTCTACTTGCTAAAACTTTTGAATTACTTTTAAGGAATATGAAAACGACACCTTTACAATCCTTCAGAGAATTGTCAACTTTCAGAATCTTAGAATGTCTGAGCAGGATTTAGGGTTCAGCTGGTCTCTTGATTCCAGTTTTAAAAAGATTGCTGTTCTGTAGCAGTTGGTACTACACTCAGACTCTCTGCCTTCAAATCATGGTCATATCACTTACTAGCTCTTTCTCTTGGACAAATTGTTTAACCCAAATTGTACTTCACTTTTTTTTCATTTGTAAGCAAGATATTATAATAATACTTATGGTAAATTTTGTAGAGATTACACAAAATAATATATGATATTTATAGGCTTTAACACAGTCCTGGGGCACATGAGTGTGCACCTCATTCTCACCTTTTTACAGAAAATAAAGTCTGAGGCCCTGAAGAGTCAAGGGTCCTGCTCTGGTTCACAGAAATAGTTATCAGAGAACCTTGACTGGAACCCTGGTCTCTACACTCCCAGGTACATGTCCTTTTTGGTCTTTTATTGTTCATCCCACCCATCTGGGCCCCTGCCTCAGCAGACTGAACTTGACTCAGTTTAGGCTGTTGTGATTTTTGTGGAAGAGGACACTTCAGAAGCACATGTTCTAGATTAGGAGGCAGGATATCTGGGCCCTGGAAGTTAAGTTAAATGTGAGAGTATAGATCTGCCCACTTCACTGTTGTTCTTTTTTCCCTTGTCTGAATTCTCTCTGGACATTACTTTGTTCTTTCAAACTGTGGAGGCAGGGAGGGAACAGCATGCAGCCAGAGCAGTTTCACTGTCATAATTCACATTCCATCCCCAGTGTCAGCCTAATGCCCACCCTGCTCCACCACCTTAACCATGCAGACAATACATATCTCATGAATAATAAATATACATTTATTGTTCAAGTATAATTCTTCACTTTTCTTCTTAAGTTTGAGGAAAAGGGAGGGGTGCAGATATAGTTTTCCACCTCTGCTGGTGGGAGGGGAGAGGGTATCTCTGAACTCTCAGTCCCTGTGACATCTACTGTCCTCATCAGGGAAAGGAAATACAGAGAACCAGCGTCACCTGGTGGTCACAGGTGCTGTAAATTCGTGTGTGTGTGTGCATGCATTTACGATGACCAGATGTTGGTCAGTCTGGAGAAAAAAATAGTGTGACCTCCCCTCAACCTAGCCCCTGAGCCCTCTTAACTAGAGTCTCTGTTCTGCTTTTATAACCCAGGATGGTAAGAGCAAGTCTTGGGGAAATGTGAAGGGCAAGGTGAATTAGCTCCAACCAGTGTGATCCTACCAAGGCAACTACCTATCTGTTATTGCCTCAGCTAAGCTTAGTACCATTTCCACAGAGCAAGAGTCTTCTCTTATGGCCATTCTCTTTGGATAAGGCAAAGGCCAGGGGGCTATGCTCACTGAAATGGTTATCAAAGCTGGATTAAGTCCTTGCCAGGTGGCTCAGTTTGTTAGAGCATTGTCCTGATGCTCCAAGGTTGTGGGGTTTGATGCCCGATCAGGGCACATACAAGAATCAACCAATAAATATATAAATAAGTGGAACAACAAATTTATGTTTCTCTCTTTCCTTTCCTAAAGGAAGATGTCCTCTCTCTTTTCTGTCTCTAAAGTCAATCAATATATATATATTTTAAAGCTGGATTGCCCTGGCTGATGTAGCTCAGTGGATTGAGCGCCAGCCTGTGAACCAAAGGATCACTAGCTCGATTCCTACTCAGGGTACATGCCTGGGTTGTAGATCAGGTCAGGTCCCTAGTACGGGGCATGTGAGAGGCAACCACACATTGATGTTTCTCTCCCTCTCTCCCTCCCTTTCCCTATCTCTAAAATAAATAAAATCTTTTTTAAAAGCTGGATTAAATTTTTGTTTTGCGCTGAAGAACATCTGTTTGTAGGGACTGGGGGATCCTGACAGCAATAGTAGGAGGTAGGGGCCATTTCTGGGATATTAGAAAGGAAGCCTAATCTTCTTGAGCAAATTCACATGTTTTATATCTGGAAACCCCTCAGCTGAAGACTATACCCCAGGACCACTGCTTCCTGCTCCTGCTCTGACCTGGATTCCCCAAGCCCTCCACTATTAAGTTCCAGCTGCAAACCAACACTGGCCTATTTCCTTCTACCCCAAAGATGACACCTGAGCATTATAAGGATGGAATTCCTTTATTGATAATTAATAATACATCTTGAGGAGCCTAGGGCTGAAACATTCAGCAAGGGAGAGGCCTGGTTTGGGATTTAGGGGGAGGTTGTCTATGAAAATGCTTACACATCTTACTTTCATACCAGTTGACCACTCTAGCTCTGGATGGAACAGTCCCAGATTCTGGTGACTGAAACACAGCTCTAATGGAACCTATGGAAACTCTGGAGCCTACGGAAACTCTGGGGCCCTTGTTGTAGGAGTGAGCCATAAGCTTGGCGGAACTGGCGATTCATGGCTGCACAGAGCACAGGGTTGATGCAACCATTGAGCCAGGTGAGGTTGGCAGCAAGCATGTGGACAACCCAAGGAGCCTGGACCCTGGCATCCAGGATATTGAGCAGCAAGAAAGGGATGTAGCTCAGGGCAAAGCAAAGGAACACCACAGAACACATACGAGTCACCTTCCTAAACTCTGATGGAGAGTCCTGAATTTTGGGGGTTCCTTTAGTTGGCTTGGCCTTGGCAGGTGCCTGTGGAAGGCTTTTCTCTGTCACCTGCTTAGCTACTTTGCTATTGCTCTGGTCCCCCACTTCTGGTGAATCTACTTCCAGAGTCTGGGCTGGCTCAGATGAAATCCCCTCACTGGGCCCCCTGATGCCATACCACTGTCCAGCTCCTGGAAATGACCGGGCATGACTTCATCTGTCCCAGCCATGTGGCTGAAGTGGACACTTGCCTGGTGCAGCTTGTACTGATCCAGTGCCTGTGCTGCTCGCTTCACCTGGCAGTGGATGAGGCAATAGAGGATGCTGACACTGCTGAGCCCAAACACAAAGTAGATCCCCATGAGAATGGTGGAGTAGGGTTGGCCTTGGATGCAGTCAAAGCTGCAGGTACAGACTATGGGCACCAAGATATAGACAGGCAAGAGAGGGGCAAAGCTGGCTACACCTACCACCCAGGTGCTCACCAGTACCAACACTATCCCCTTGGCACTGAACGCTTGGGGAAAGAGCTTCGGGTGGGCAATGAGGAGGTAGCATCCCACAACAATGAGGCAGAGGGTGAGGATGGAGATGGAATTAGACACAAAGAGGAGGAGCCCAAAAACTCTGTAGAAGGTGGCACCAGTTCTCCAGTGCAGGTGGAGGTAGGTATCCACAGAGAAAGGCTGGAGAAGGGTGCAGTAGAGCAGATCAGCTACTATGAGGTTGTCGATGAGCAGGTTGAAGCGGGTATAGAGCTTGGGCTGAATGACCAAGGCCAGCGGGGTGAGCATGTTGCCCACAGTGCCTGATACAGCTACCACAACCCCCCAGGTAACTGCCACATAAAGATAGCCCAGCACAGACTTATGGTAGCAGGAAACGTTGGCATCAGAGGTGTTCCACATGATAGAGGCTGAGGTGGGGGCAGGTGGAAGAGGAAGAGGAAGTCAGAACTTGACTTTGAATTTAAATCTCTTGAACAATTCTGGGCCCCTGGGTATATGAACTGCTCTGAGAGCTCAGAAGAGCTTCCAGTCATTCCCAAGCCTCTTTACCCCAATTCCCAATTCTAACTTTCTTCTTAGACTCTCTTAGACCTTTTCCATTCTCAAAGATTTTCCGAAATTCTTACCTAACTATCTTGTCATTTTTGCCCTGGCTGGTGTAGCTCAGTGGATAGAGTGCGGGCCTGCGAAAAAAAGGATCGTGGTTCAATTCCCTGTCAGGGCACATACCTGGGTTGCAGACCAGTTCCCAGCAGGGGATGCATGAGAGGCAACCATGTATTGATGTTTCTCTCTCCCTCTCTCCTTCCCTTCCCCTCTAAAGATAAATAAATATATAATTAAAAAAATAAATATCTTGTAATCTCTGTCTACTCCAAACTCCAGGCTTCATTCAACACCCATCCAGGTACTCTCAGTAACCCCAGTGCCCTTAAACTTTAAAAATTCTTTCCCCCCTCCTAAGACCAGCCAGGAGTCCCCTTTCTGTATCCAGGATGCTGCTTTAGTCCCTTCTGCTCTTTTTCACTACACACACAGGTTGACCTCATTTTTTTCCTGTTTTTACCACCTGCAAGATGAAGAAACAGAGAAAGAAAAGTATACCCACCACAATATTACTAACCTAAATCTCCCAGCCTTAAGTTCTTCCTCCAGTGGAAGAAGAAATCAAACTCACTGAAAGGGCAGTCCTTTCTAGTGGGCAGTCAGGCTTCAAATAGGGGGTACCCTGCTTTCATGTCCCTTATTATGCTAGACTGAAAGAATAAGAAACTCCCCAGTTACTCAACCTCAGCCACTTCTTTCACCACCTCCGGTCCTACTTGTTCTGCTTTGGTTAGTCTGCTTTGGTTAGTGAAATCTGGGCGTCTCTGTTGAAATTCTGCTACTTACACCAAAGCCATCTCATTTCTCCCTTTCTTCTTTCTGATACCCAAGCTCTGTTTTCTTCCTGTCTTTGCATAGCAGAACACTTGTAAGATCACTGTCCAAAATCGTTGAAGCATGGAGAAAGAGCATCTGGATATCTAGGCCACTTATCAAGGGGCCAAAGGACAAGATCAAGTTGCAGGAGCAACTTTAGATACCCCAGAAGCTTTGGCTCTGTTTTGGGGGAGCGCTGCTTCCCTCTGTCCAGAACATGGAGATAGTTCAAGTCAGAGGGTCCTATGTGATATCCTAGCACATCTGAGAAAAGGAGCCAGATGAAGTAAGGTGAGAAATGAAACAGTCAGGATTCTGGCTTCATTCCCCACAGGGCTCAGTTCAAGCACTCATCCATTCACTCAATAAATGCATATTGAGCACTGGCTAGTGTGGTTCAGTGGACTGAGTGCCACCTTGAGAACTGAAAGGTCACTGGTTTGATTCCCAGTCAGCACATGCCTGGGTTGCGGGCCTGGTCTCCAGTAGGGAGCATGGGAAAGGCAACCAGACATTCATATTTCTCTCTTTCTTTCTCCTTCCCATCCCCTCTCTTAAAAATAAATAAATAAATAAATAAATAAATAAATAAATAAATAAATAAAATCTTTAAAAAAATAGCATATTAGTGCCTACTATTCACCAGATTCTGAACTAGACACAGGATACAAAAAATTTTGGTACATAAGCTTGTGCATAGTCTAGTGGAGGAGACAGATGCATAAGTGTATAAATGCTTAATTTATTCTCTAAAGCAGGGGTCAGCAAACTTTGGCCTATGGGCCAAATCTGGCCTGTCATTTGTTTTTGTGTGGGCAGTGAGTCAACGTTTTTTCCATTTTAAAATGGTCACATTTGAATGGTTATATAAGTACCTACATAATATCTTCAATTTTGCCTCTTGGCCAGCACAACCTAAAATATTTACTATTTGACCCTTTAAGAAAAAGTTGGCAACTCTTGCTATAAAGTGTACCAGGAACTTAGAGGAGAGGACCTAGCTGTTAAGGAGGAGGTCAAGAAAGGGTCCACAGAGATATCTGTGCTAGATTTTGAATGATTAACAGAGTATTTTGGGGAATATAAGTAGGACATTCTAGACAAAGGGCACAGGATGCATAGAGTTCACAGAGGTTTAGGAAGAGGTGAAGAAAGAGTGTAAAGTAGGAAAGAACAGAGAAGATCCTGGAGAAGTGAGCAAGGCTGAGATCAAGGAAGGCTTTGTATATCATGTTGAGCTGGGGTTTTATCTCAAGACGAGGGGGAGATTAGCACTCAGAAAGCTGTTGGGAGTGAAAGCATGCAGGCCAGAAGTGAGAGAGAGCAGTAAGGAGGAACCCATTCAGACAAAGGAGAAGTAGGGCCTGAGTTATGGTCAGGGTCAGCTCCATGGGCATGCTACCTGTGTCATGGCATAGGGCCAAGGATCCACTGGTTGGTTTACTGTTCTGTAGTCACTATCTTGAGATTTTTTAATAAATTCTCATCTGAGGATATATCCATTGATACCAGATAGAGGAAGAGAGACACAGAGAGAGAAACATCAATGTAAGAAACATTAATTGGTTGTCTCCTGAATGTATCCCAACAGAGGAGTGAACCCACAACCTAGGATTGTGCCCTGACCTGGAATCCAACCCACGACCTTAAGGTTTACAGGATGACGTTCCAACCAACTGACCCACACCAGCTAGGGCTTGAGGTCTTTTTTTTTTTTTTTTTAACATTAAAAAATTTATTTTTAGAGAGAGGGGAAGGGAAAAAGAAAGAGTGGGGGAGAAACATCAATGTGTGGTTGGCTCTCATGTGTCCCCTACTGGGGACCTGGTCTGCAAACCAGGCATGTGCCCTGATTGGGAATCAATTGAGATCTTTTTTGAACAAAGGGCCCTAGTTTTTTATTTTGCACTGGACCCACAAATTATGTAGCCAGTCCTAGTTAGGGCAGTGGTTGTGGGAATAGAGAACAGTAATCAGACTCTATAGGTTGCTAAGAAGTCAAACAGGACTTAGTAGTGTCTCTGCAGATGAAGGGTTAGAAAGAGGGAAGAGTAGGATGAACCCCATTTTTACAGGTGGATGGTAGTGCTCTTAATAAGATAGGGAGCCCTGGTCAGTATGGCTCAGTTGATTGGAGCTAAGTACAGTAAATTGAAAGGCTGCAGGTTCAATTCCCTGTCAGGGTACATCCCTAAGTTGTGGGTTGGGTCAGAGCACAAATGAGAGGCAAATGATAGATGTTTCTCTCATATTGATGTTTCTCTCTCTCTGGAGTCAATAAATAAATATTTATTTTTTAATTTTTTTGTATTTAAAGGTTTTATTTATTTTTAGAGAAAGGGGAAGGAGGGAGACAGAGAAGGAGAGAAACAACAATGTGTGAGAGCTGCATCCATTGGTTCCTCTCTCACGCCTCCCACCCAGGCATGTGCCCTGACTGGGAATCAAACGGGCAACCTTTCAGTTCCCAGACTGGCACTCAATCCACTGGGCCACACCAGCCAGGGCAAGAGAGAGCTTTAAAAACCAAGATAGAGAATGTGGAGAGCACAACAGTTTTAGGGAAGGGGTAAATCATGAACTGAGTTTTAGATTAGGTTTGAGGTGATTGTGCAGCATGCTAGTATCCCTAGCACTTCTAGCCTCAATTTCTTCTAGCCCCTCTCTCCCCACATGTGACCCAGCCCCTGCTTTTCTCCACTCACTCTCCTATAGGGCCAGAATCTGGATATCCATTTTTTTGGTTTGTTTTTAGCTAGAAAGACCTGAACACAAAAACAAATAAACCCCAAACTCCTTGTTGGGTTTCATTTCTGAACCCAGACTTCACAGTTCAAACCCAGGAGGCCCCTATTCCCCTTTCCTTCCTCTTTAATAGCCATCATCATCCCTCTTCCTTTCTTCTGTAAGACTCAGAGGGTAGAAAGGGGGAAATGAGGAATGATGCAGCTCAGGAGGATCCCATGGTGATTCTGGGTTCTGGTCTAGCCTTTTTTGTTCGACCTTTCTGCCATCCAGAAGGGCTAGAGGGAGAGGGTCAGAGAGTCACTGGCTAATTTTGGGAGTGTGTGTGGTTGAACTGAATTCTGCAGATAAAGAGGAGACCTCTCTCTCACCCTCAAACCCCCATTACGTAAGAGAGAAGGATGTGCTGTCTTGTTTCACAGAACACTTAGGGAACAAGATGAGAAGGTATACTAGCATACATGTAAATAACAATCCCAGTTTTGTCTTGGATACATGAGGTCTCAGTAAATTTTTAAGAGACCCAAATGGGCTCACTTTGCAGATAGGGAAACTGGGATCTAGAGGGGGGAAGTACTAACCTAAGGAGACTATTTATATGGGGCAAAGCAGAGTGTAGAGCTCAGATTCCCAGTCCCTGTCCCCACTTCTTTTCATGCCTTGCCTGTTTCTGGCATGGGTTTCCCACCAGAGGCACAAAACTGATTTTTTCTTTTGTCTTAGACTGGGTCTGGGCCTGTCGCGTTAGACTGCTGAGACACACCACAGGAAAGTCTTAGGCTAGGGGAAGATCCCTTTCTCATGTCCTTGGCGCCGCCTGGTGGAGTTGTGAATTCTCAACAGCCGTGGCTGCAATCCGAGACCTGGACTCAGAATGATTCCCCAGGGCCAAGTTTACACTTGAGCTGGACCGAGTGGGGGTGAGTGGGATGGGGAGCCTCTGCCAGCTTTGCACAAGCTTCAGACCTTGCCTCCTCCTACCTCCATTTTCCTAACCCCTTCCTTCTTCTGCTCCTCTTTCTACTGTGCCTGTCTCCCTCACCATACAGATACATATTCTGATGTTACTGCTCCCCAAAACAGCAGGCAAAGATCGAAAGTCTGAGTCTGGGGGACAGAGGGCAACGAATCCAGACTTTATTGTCAGGGAGAGGGAAAAGGGAAAGACATAGTTTGGGGGCCAAGGTTGCTACATCATCAAGCGGAAAGAGTTGATGAGGAGAAGGCCAGTGGGGGGGGGGCATACTCCTCCTAGGTCAGTGGCTGGAAGGGCTGACAAGACAGAAATCACCGGTGCGGGGGGGGGGGGGGGCGGGGGGGGGGAAGGTTATGCCCCCACCCCAGCTGTATTGTGGTGTCTGGTGGAAGGGGACAGCCATGAGGTCTAGGAGCTGGGATGGAGGAGGCTACAGACTGCAAATCCTGCGGAAGGGGGAGGAGGAGGTGAGGCTTCTATTGCTTTTTGCTCACAGTTTTGCGGAAGGCGAGGCGGGGGGTGGGCTTTGACTAGACACACCTTGCCCCCCTCAGTACCCCTTGGGCGATGGGTGCTGGTGAGAAGAATGGAATCCGGACTGGGGAGGAAGAAGGTGAGGGAAGGGACTATAAGGGGCATCTACTTGGTCCCACCCAAGT